AAAGCCTTCTCCCCACCGACTCTACACTGTTTGGTGAAGCCTTGCCACACTTCCTCAGGAGAAGGGTCTCTCTCCATTTCACCTCAGTAGCCTGCTGGTGGACCTTCAGCAGGCCACTGAGGCGAAAGCACTTGTTACACATCGGGAACTAGAAAGGCTTTTCTCCCAAGGGTATGTTGAAGTGGCTGGCAAACATGGACCTTCCAGGGAAGCACTTATTACACTCCATGCATGAGCAGGGCCTCTCCGCGCCATGGTGCAGCAGCAAATCCTATGTGTCACAGTCCAGGCATAGGCCTGTCTTCTGTCCTGAGTGCACACTGGTGAGGGTGGCATGGCCTTCTCTCCAGGAGGGCCCCATCTTGCTGGCACTGGTCAGCCTTCATGCTGTCCACTGGGAGAAAGCTCTTGTCATATTTGGGGTGCTGAGAAGGTTTCTCCACCCTATGCATGAGATGGTGGCTGAGAAGTGTCCACTCCTGTCACAAGTACATTTACATTCAGGAGACTGGAATGAGTCTTCCCAGTATGGACAGCCAGGTGTCTCAGCAAACGCTGCTTCAGGCAGAAGCTCCTACCACACTGGTGGCATGGGAAGTGCCTCTGTCCCTGGGGGATACCCTGTTGTGGCTGCACATCAGCTCACCTGCTGAATTTCTTCCAGGCCGTATGAGGCCTTCAAGTGGCTCCTCTGGTGATTTACTAAGTGGTTCTTCCAAAAGCTTTCCCCACAGACAAGCTTTTCCTGAAGGGCTCTGCCCCCTAGAGATGAGCATCTCACAATTGGTTCTCATGACAAACTTGTAAAGTTCCTTCTGCCATGCCTCTAGAATCTGCCGTCTTGCTCCAAGAAATAAATGGCAACATCCTCAAAAGTCAGAAGTAACAGAACTGACTCAGCCATTGCCTTCCGCAGCTCCACAATGCTGGCCATGCCTAGTGACTCTGCAGGAACCAGCCCTGCAGTGCACTGCACCAGTTACACCCAAGCCCAGAGTCTAATCCAGGGTTGCCCTTGGCACAGCACTGGCCAAGGCTCAGTGCACACAAACTTTTTTTTTTTAAGAGACAAGGTCTGGGGGGGAGGACATATGACAGAGGGAGGGAGGGCATGAGGTGGGATCTCACCTTATGTGCACATTGTGAGAGTGTATAACATGCCCCCTGAATGAGAGGCTGTCCTGGAAGTGAGAACAATGTAACCTAAATATCGTACCCTCATATTAATTTGAATAAAGTTTAAAAAAAATCAAAGACAGTTCTTAAAATATTAAACAACAACAACAACAACAAAAAAGACAAGGTCTGGTGCTGTTGTCCTGGCTAGTGTGCAGTGGTATGACCATAGGTCACTGTAGCCTCAAAATCCTGGGGTCAAGGGATCCTCTTGCCTTGACCTCCCAAGTAGCTAGGATTATAGGCACACATCACCATGCCCACCTAATTTTTGTAACTGATCTTTATCCTGCAACTTTGCTGAACTTGTCTATTAGTTCTAATAGTTTTTTTGTGTATGTGTGCATTCCTTAGGTCCAGATTTTCTATACATATCATTGTCATCTATGGATACAATTTTATTCTTCTTTCTACTCTGGATGGTATTTATTTTTCTTGCTTAATTGCCTAGATTTGAACCTTTAGAATAATGTTGAACAAAAGTGGTAAGAGTGGATATATTTGTCTTGTTCCTGATATTAGTGGGAAAGCATCCAGTTGCTCACCATTAAGTATGATATTAGCTGTGGAAATTCTGAAGATGAATTTTATCAGATTGAGGAAGTTCCCATCTATTGCTAGTTTTTTGAGTGTTTTTAATCATGAAAGAGTGTTGGATTTTGCCAAATGCTTTTTCTGTACCTACTGAAACGATCATGCATTTTTTGTCCTTTATTCTACTATTATGGGGGCATTACATTGATTTATTTGTATGTGGGTTTTTCGTTTTTTTGACACAGAGTCTCAAGCTGTCACCTTCAGCAGAGTGCCTTGGCATCACAGCTCACAGGAACCTCAAACTCTTGGGCTTAAGCGATTCTCTTGCCTCAGCCTCCCAAGTAGCTGGGACTACAGGTGCCCACCACAACACCTGGCTATTTTTTACTGTGGTTGTCATTGTTTAGCTGGCCCAGGCTAGGCTCGAACCCACCAGCCTCGGTGCATGTGGCTGGTGCTGGAACCACTGTGCTATGGGCACTAAGCCTAATTTGTATGTGTTAAATCAGCAGTCTCCAACCTTTTGGGCATGAGGAACCAGTTTCATGGAAAACAATTTTTCCACAAACCAGAGAGGAGAGGATGGTTTTTGTTTGTTTGTTTTTGAGACAGTCTCACTATGTCGCCCTGGGTAGAGGTCCATAGTGTCACAGCTCACAGAAACCTCAAACTCTTGGGTTTAAGCGATTCTCTTGCCTCAGCCTCCCAAGGAGCTGGGACTATAGGCACCTGCCACAACAATGCCTGGCCATTTTTCTGTTGCAGTTGTCATTGTTGCTTAGTTGGCCCAGGCTCAGTTCAAACCTGCCAGCCTTGGTGTATGTGGCTGGTACTATAACCACTATGCTACAGGCGCCAAGCCCTTGTTTTTTTTTGAGACAGAGCCTCACTATGTCGCCCTTGGTAGAGTGCTGTGGCATCACAGCTTGCAGCAACCTCGAACTCTTGGGCTTAAGTAATTTTCTTGCCTTAGCCTTCCAAGTAGCTGGGACTACAGGTGCCTGCCACAACACCTGGCTATTTTTTTTGTTGCTATTGTTTAGCTAGCTTGGGCCACGTTCAAACCCACCACCCTCAGTGTATGTGGCTGGCACCATTACCACTATGCTATGGGCGCCACGCCTAATTTAGTCTTCTTTATCTAGTTTCTTGAGGTAGATTAGGTTACTGATTTTGAACCTTTTTTTATTTTACTTTGTTTCATTTTATTATTATTATTTTTTAATCCAGTCTCCATAGAGATTGCCAATAATTGCCAGTGCCGACTATGTTGTAAGTTGTCATTGTGGAGTACTGGGGAAAGTTTTCAATTAGCAATAACTGTGCCTTGGATAAACCTCAGTGGCTATGATATTGCCACTGCAAAAAGCTTGTTTTTTTAAAAATAAGCATTTACAGATATAAATATCCTTGTAAGCACTGCTTTAGCTGCATCTCATCTGCTTTGGTATGTTATATTTTCATTTTCATTCATCTCAAAGCCTTTCCTACTTTTCCTTGTGATTTCATCTGTGACTTATTTGCTTTTTAGAAGTTTGGGGTTTAATTTCCACATATTTCCCAAATTTCCTTCTGTTACTATTTCAGAGAACATACGGTATATGATTTCAATGTTTTAAATTTATTTAGACTTGTTTTATGACCTACGGTATGGTCTATCCTATAGAATATTACATGTATCCTTAAAAAGAGAATGTGTATTGTGTTATTGCTGATAGACTGTTTTATTTTTTAATTTTTTTTTTTTTTTTTTTT